GTCAGAACTGCCTTTGCCCCAGGGAGGCTAGCGGGTCCTGGATCCAAAGGGGCCAATAGGATTGAACTTTGCAAGAGCCGTGGTTCTTGGTTTACCTGCCCTTGTAAAGTGTTTATTCCTATACAAGTAACAGCCTTGTCTTCTTTTATTGCCTAGGCACCAGGGAGCTATGGAAATGCTATCTTGACTTGCGAAGGCTTTTACTTCTTTATTTTTAATTTTAAAACTTCACACCTGTTTTGTGAGTTTCGGTTGCCCTCCCTACTTGAAGCTGAAGGCACGTTTCCTTTCTAAGGGATTCAGCTGGGCAGTAGAAATGTATCTGATGGTGTGATCCGGAGAGCCACTTCATTCCGGGGATATCGTTGTTGCTGTAAGGGACTTCACATTTCTTTAGTTAAGCATGGTCAGATATATATTTCAATCCAGTTAAAACATTCTACCTGCTATATATGAGTTCAGATGACTGGGTTTAGTAGTTTAATTAAAAACCATGAGATTAATGACTAGAGATGAATCTATCACTAGGGAGGTTTTTACCTTGAATCAGCTTCATCTCCATCAGAGCAGGTGGTGTTGCCCGATTGCTTAATTGTAAAAATGTGCTGGGATTCAGTAGCCTCCTTTCTTACTTTTTGGAAGAAAAGGCCAGTTTTGGAAAGCTGAACATTTACAGTAAGGAATTCCTAAAAATTCCAAGAAGATCTAGATTCAAAATGCTGAGGTAATGGCAAGACCTTTAGGCAATCCTGTCTTTCCTTAACTATTTGAATATAGCATTTTTACCAAATCTGGACATAAGCTGGCAAACGACCCAAGAACTAAAAAATAGGCATTCCAGTAAGGTAAACATGGCTGGTCTCCGTGGGAGAACCCTCATAATTAGCACAATCTTACATTAAAAATTAGAAGCCCTAAAATTAAAGACCATGAGACTGAACAAATTTAAGTAATAAAATAATAATTAAAAAGAGAATCAGAGAGTAGATGTGGAGCAGGCATTCGTGGGCTGAAGAGGAGATTGAAAAGTAATATTTTATTTTTCTGCCTCAGCCACATGGACACAGCGACCAATACGGGCCCCAAACCTCTAGTCCTTAAAACTGTAAGGACAGTTCTTCGTCATCTCTGCTCTGCTTTAATTCAGAAACATTGAACGCGGCATTCTAAGATTATGCGTTTATCTGTAATCGGGATGTTAATTTTCAGAGGTGACTTGTGTACCTTCTGAACTTCATTTGCTCTTAATCCTCCGTGTCAAGGCAGGAGGTGTTCTTGGCCTCGAACATCAGGAGTGTGGGTGTTCACAGATACCCCGGAGCCAGGTACACGAGGGAGATAACACTTAATAGGATTATGCCTTCCCTGTGGTTTAGAATACTTACAGCTTCCGTAATTAAAATGTTACACCAGCAGGTACGAAACAT